AATAATTATGTGAAAACTGCTTTGCAGGTATAAATTTTTAAACAATTGATGAATGTAGAAAATAGTCATCACAGCTAAGTTACTACCTGTGAAAGTATATGATCAAACTATTAAGGACAAACCCATCATATGTTTAATTCAGCTTCAATTTGTTAGTGTGTTAAAGTACTTTAATAGAATCTTGGAGTATAAGGCAGTAAGAGTTGTCAGAGATTATCTTGTCCATCTCCAAGCCTTAGAGCTATGTCACTCCTGACAGGTATGTGACCAGTCAGTCATAAAAACGTCAAGTGGTACAAGTCTGTCCCAAGGCAAACTATGCCAAATTAGGGAACAGTTTGGAACCAGCAGAAATGCTAGAAACTGTCTTTACAGTCAGCAATTACATGTCTGAATGAGTCTCTTTTTTTTTTTTTTTTTTTTTTTTTTCTTTTTGTCTTTCTTCCATCCAAAGATAACATCTGGAAAACCGTGAGGATGCCTGAAGCACTGTCAGAAGATAATTGGAAATCCTGGGCATACCCATAGCACATACACACTGTGCTATAGATACTATACCTGCAGTTAGCCTGATGCTTTCAGAAAGTGTTGGTCTTGCTTTGTATGCCTGACAGAGTAGATCTGTTATGTATGTCTTGTTTCCAGGAGATATTAGATGGACATATGCATGTGTGCATATGGGATGTATATGACACTTGAAATTTTCAGACCCACTCTTAAATTTCATATAATTGCTGTGAGAGCATTAAGTCCAGAATGTCCCCGAACACTGCATTTACTGAGCACATGCAAACCTGTTACATAGTGTCTGAACACTTATTTCTCTCTGCAGGATCCCAGATAGATGCAATAGTTGAACACTTAATTACTGTTAAACAGTCTTAAAAATCTAACCTAAATTTTACTTGTTGCAGCTTAAACTGCTTACTTTTTGTCCTTCCCACAGTGGAAATATGTGAGAGTTATTTCTTTTCTCGTATATGTTATATCTGTCCTCTGTAATTTTTTTCCTTTGGATTGAATAGTCAAATTCCATCAGCCTTACTTTGTAAGTCGTGTTTTATAGACCTCTGATAATTCTTATTTCTCTCCTTTGCTGTCTCTCCACATTTTTGAAGTGTGGTGTTCAAAACTGGGCTTATTTACTCCAACTCAGAACCTTATTGGTATCAAATAGAAAGATTACACAGTTCTTAGAGAAGATTCTCTTCTTTGTATATCCCAGTATGATGTTTACCTTTTCATAACAGCATGGTATCGTTGAGTCATATTCTGTTTCTGATACATCAAAATCCCCATATCTTTTCCTGTAGAGCTTTTGTCTGACCAGTCCTTCCCAGTCCGTGCATTTGTACAGTTGTTTCTCTCTGCTCATAGAGCTTTTCATTCTCCCTATTTAAACTTCACCAGTTCTTTTAGTTTCTGCAGTTTATCAAAATTTTCTTCGAAACCTGTTGTCACTTGCATTGATGCAACTCTGTGTGTGATGTATATATATATACATATAATTACTGCTATAATATAATATATGATATGAATGTATCACAATCTATGCACATTTAATAGGCAGTCTCGCTATCCCATTGTCCAAATTATCATTGTAATTCATTGACAACGTTGATTAGTTTTGGAACAAGGTCAGAAGGAAGCCTGAAAAATTGTGCTTACTACCCGTTTTTAGTTTAAAGAACACTCAAAGTAGTTACCAAGTTGAATATGATTTTTATGGTCAAGTGTACAGCCAACTGATTGTGATTTTGTCTATGTCATGCTTCCGTAGCATTCTTGTAAGATGTGATGAGAAATATTGTCAAAAGCCTTATTAAAACCATTATAAATAACATCTACTTCTTGTTCCCAATGCACAAGAGCTGTCACCCTGTTACAGAAACATGTTCGTTTAGTATGTTTTTTTCCTTACTATGGAATATTAGCTGTTGCTCATTTTATTGCTATTTTCTAGTTTTTTACAAATAATTTAATAGTGGAAGTAGTTCTTTCAATTGACTAGTATAATGCTGTAATTACTTGTCCCTAATAAAGAAGATTAATTAAACACTGCTTGCAAATGCCACTAGAGAGCTCTACATTTCTTGAAGACAGAAAAGTTAATTCTTCTGGACAGCAATTTGGCAAAAGAGAGCTAAACAATAGATCAATATCTTTATTTTAGTTACGCTTATTTTTTTTCACAGCGTTAATTTCAATTTATAAAAGATTAGATTCCTGTTGGAAGTTGAAAAGACCAGTTTAGGTTTCACTTCTCTGAAAAGAAAGTATATCTGATTTTACAGTAGTAATGGTGACCAGTGAAGAGAGAGACAGCGCAAGTGTACAGGATATGGATGAAGAGTCTCAGCTTGCAGACAGAGGTTTTTCTTCATGGCTGGCACACAAATTTCAAGTTTTTCCAGATGTGCTTTTGCTCAGTCATAAATAAAGATGAATCCTGAAAAAAAATTATTGGTTCAGAATTTGAATATTTTTTGCACAGGGACTCTTTTCGTCTTAGATTTTCTTTTGAACCATGTTTGTTTATACTAGAAGGCAGTTTGTTTCAGCAACGGTGGCAAACAATCTGCCCCATGGGGAAACTGAGGCATTAGTTTATTATGAAAATGTGGAAAAAAAATATGAATCGACTGATGAAGCCTTCAGAAAGATTTGTAAAATACTGGACTCTAGAATCAGGTGTAGGTATGAGCACAGTTCAAATGAATATGTATCAACTCATGTTTCAGTGTTTGTGATATGTTGAATATACCACTGTTTCATAGATTTCTTCAAAGGATAAGTGTCTTTCTGCCTATCTGAAAGAAGTCTCTCCAAGGATATGGAAATGGTTGTTTCAAGGTGTTGGAGAATAGTTTCTCCATGCTTTTCTCACAGAACTCTGTTCTTTATATCCTTATATCCTTATGTAGGTCCTTACGGTCCCACTCCAATACTAAGCAGAAGTGGCATTGAACTTGTATTCCCCCTCCAGTCAGTGTACTTTTGCCCTTCTAAATCAGTCAGGCATCCTACTCAAAAAAGAAACAACAGTATATAAACTCACTTTTAAAAATGATTATCTGTTGTCTAAGTAGGGCAAAATACATCAAAGTAAATGTATATATTACTCTCAGATTAGTAATGAAATACTATATTTCTCTATGTTCAGATATTATGTAAATAGACCAGATTTTATGTATGGACAGGTTATAGCTTTACAGGTTATATAACTGCTTTAAGGCTTTAGGATACATTTCACTGATCTCTGAACAGTTTCTATAGCAGGTCTGATGATTATTTTTATCATGACGTCTGCAGGATTCAGTTCATGCATTTCAAACAGTTTTTCTTTCTTGATGTGGCAGTTAGATCTGACACCAATTGGTAACAGCAGTCTTTTTGATGTTTTGGGTTTTTTTTTTCCCCCTTAGGTCCACCTGATTTACAAGTTATTGTTAAAAATCAGTCATTGGAGTGTGAAATTCAGTATTGGCAATGTTGAAAGGAGTTTTAAGTTTGAAATGTCCATGCAGTTTGACCCTTCTCTCTCTTTACTTTGTTTTCTTTGATATAGAGCAGGTGAATTGGTTTTCTTCAGTAATTGTGCACTGACTGTTTAGGGCACAATAAGCATGTTCATATGCCATGACTAGACTGCTCTTTTTAAGTCAGCTTGAGAGTCATCGTTAGTGGTTACCATACTGTGCTACACTGAAGTCACTGCTATTGAGGCATCTTGGACATAAGCTCAGTCCAGTACTTAGGTATAAAATGATCTTTTCCTACTTGAATTTAAAGATAAAAGCTTGACAAGGCATCTCTTACAAGTTAAGTTACAGTTTTGGGAATAGAACAAAAGATGGGGAAGTAATTGAAGCAGACCATTACACAGGCAGTGGTATAGTCACTGCTCAGGGGTGCAGTTAGGTTTCTGAAGGAGCAGGGGTTTCTAGTGCACCCATTCTGCTCTGTCCCAATAAGGTCAAAATACTTCATGGGAAAAACTTTGGAAGAACATTGTCTTAGATACAGGTCAAATTGTCTTTGACACACTTGATAGGAATGTATTTAGGAATGTATTATCTCCTGAAACTACTTTAATATTAAAGATACCCACTTGTTTAATGTGATATATTTGTATAATTTGTCTCCTGTTCTCCTTTATTGCACTTTGCTCTGACAAAATAGAGTAACAAGAAGCATGAATTTATTTACGCACAACAGAAATAATATGAGAAGACTTAGAACAATACACAAAGAGATCATAAAAACAGTCAGCCTTCAAAATATGTTGCATTAAAATAGAAGCAATAACAGGGATCAGGGATCTCTATTCTTTCCAGAAAAGGTATAAACACAGCAGCAGAGGCAGAATTTTATACTCATTAAAGAACCTCATGCTACAGACAAGATTCAGCACTTAAATGTTACAGGCAAATAATTTATATCCCATGTTTGGATTTTCTTAGCTCTGCTTTGGTAATGCCAGTCAGCATTTGGTCAGTTCAGCCCTGGGGAATCTCTCTGGCATCACAGCCTATCAAGTCCACTTCATATTTTACTACCATCTTGACTGTTGTACAGGTTTTGCATTGTCCAGAACTGGTCTGCTGTTTATTATCTAAGCTGGAAGAGAGTAAATCTCCCATTGCTTGTGTCTGGGAACCTACGTTGTCCAATCTTCAATTTTTTATATTGTTCAGTATTTCTTTCTGGTCTGGCATTTATTTCATATTTTTTTTTTCACTTTTAGTGCTTGTTATGAGAAGACCTTCATCAAAAACAAAGATGCCTTTTATGTAAAAGCTAAAAATAACTTGTTTAGATTAAGAGTTAGAAAGTTTTGCTCTAAATTTAGAATCAGTGACTGAACCGTGTACCATGTAATTCTGGACTAACAGCTAAGTGGGAACAAAAAGTGTATTTTTTATGTGCATTTGCAGGTTTTCTAATGAGTGCTGGACAAGGAAAATATGCAACACTTCCTGTTTGTTCTTTGTTGTCAGAAAAATTATGAGAAGTTGAGTCTTCATAGCAGCAGCAGTGGAGCAGCCAGTTGCAAAAGTGAATTTTCAGAAAATACTGACCTCACAGCTGAGAGCTGTCAATCTGCATGTGGAAAAGATGAGGAAAGAACGTATGAAGAAATCCTGGTAGAGGATCACAGCACTTCAGAGAACTCTGAGAAAGGTAGCCATTAGCAAAAGAAGCATCAGGAGTACTATTATTCCGGTCAGAGGTGGGTTAAAAGCTTCTCTGCTCTCATTTTTATGCACAGATATGTTCTCTGAATTGGATGATGAGCTGGACGTGTTGGACAACTTGAGCAGCTCCAGTTCAAGTCATTTGAAAGAGTCTTCTATGGGTAAGAATCCTTAAGAATGAAGTGTACGCTACTTTCTAACAGCAAAGTAGTTACTTGTTCCAAAATATTAGAGTATTTCATGATTTATTGCAAGTTCACTATCTGTTGTGGGTGCTAAGGAAAAGAAAAATAGGATAACTGTACCTCTGTGGCAGCCATTTCCAGCATCGTACATTTTGCATCACATAGTCTTTGTGTAGCTTGTCCCTATGTTTTGCAGTAATGGCTATGAAAACTGGAATATTTTGGGGCACCTTGACAAAGCAGGTGTTTTTACATTTGAAGCATGAGATAACTAGTGTTGATAAGAAATGGAAGGAAAACAGTTTAAAAACTATTGTCTCAGTAACAATAATGCTATGCAAATGAATAAATGGACTGCCCTGTTAGAGGGTGTAAAAAAGAAATTTGAAAGAGGCAAGCTTTAGCTGTCTAGATGAATTGACTGAATGGAATTGAAGGAATGCTTCATGATTAGATTCGAATTAAGAAGGGGTTATGTGACAAAACATAGCATTAATTCTGCCTGTAATTATTTATGGTAATCAGATAGGAAAGCACCAGCTGTGCTGGGTGTTATCTTAAGTAATAGTTTTTTGGGTTATACTCTAAATATGAAAATGAAAAAAAAAAAAAAGAGATGTGAAACATCTGTAACCACTGTGAGCTACCTGCTAAATTATGAGCTACCGTGACCTATCTGTTAAATGGGATGGGATTCTGATTAGAGAGACTCAAACAGCATTTTATACTAGAAGAAAAAGGTTGATATTAGAGCTGAGCAAAATTTGAGATTTGCATTCATCCCATGAATTTCTGACAGAAAATCTGTGGGTGATTTAAATTGTACTTTTAAAGAGGGGAAGGGAATGTAGTTGTCCGAAGATAGATTAACAAATGTTATTGCAAGGTCCCAGGCTTCAAAAAATAACATTACTTTATCTGTTTGTAGTCCTATTTGCTAGCTAGATTTCCTTCAGATTTTGGCCTAGGTACTGAAGAAATGTGACTGCTTTTAATTGAAATGTCTAGCCATTAGTGCAGAGCAAGTACATATTTTGATAATTCTACTTAAAATCCATTAATATAATTTGCTAATTGTAACTGGATAGCCTACCATTCTACAGTCTGGAGGAGGTGTGGCTAAGCAACCCTGAGTTTATTATAACTTTTCTTAAAAAACAAAAAAAAAAAAACAAAAAAACCCCAACCCCCAAACCCCACTTCTTCTTATTTACTTTCTTGTGCTAAGAGAGTAACAAGAGAAAACAAGAGAAGGTCACAGGGTACAGGGAAGCCTAGTGTGACTGTGGGAGGGGGCTGCATAGAGGAAACCCCTTGAGGAAAAGCAGCCCGCAGAGGCTATGCTCTATTTTGGTGTTTATACTGAAGAATAGCACATTGTGCATCTCCCAGAAGTGTAATTCTTTGTGGGCTAGTTCAGCGTTGTACACAGACATTTGAAATCTTTGTGGAGTTTGTAACTTGCCACACCTGAAGCATTACTGGTAATGATTTCCTTGTTGTTAATTTTTCTGTGTTAAGATTTGGACATTAACAAAACATCAACTTTTTCTAATATTTAAATATTTTCGTGCCAGGTTTTCATTGATTAAATGAAATGCTTTAAGTGGAAAGATCCAGTCAGTTCCTATTAATTCCAGTAACTTTAATCAGCATTTCTAGAAGTTATTGTCCATTTTCCTCCAAGCATAGAGTTTAATTGTTATATAGATACTTCAGGATTGCTTTTTCAGAAAAATAATTCTGAAGTTGTACATCCTTAGATCACCTGAAGTTTCTACTGAATGCTGAAGTTAGCATTGTAGATCAGTTGTAAGTAATGCTGGCAAATTTTTCTTCTTTTCAGGGAAAAAGAAAAGATAGCTTTAAAAAAAGTTATTATAAACTCAGGATACTTGAGTATTGCTTGGGTTATGCTCCATTCATTGCTAATAAGTGGCTAACAGCATTTGAATTATGAACCATAATTTTGTCAAGCATGGCAGCATTACAGGGGAAAATCTGACCAACTTTCATCTAGCTAACTAGGAAAGTGCTATCATGAAAATCTGAGTTTCAGTTACAGGTATATTGATCCAGGGTTTTGAAATGGTGTGGCTAATCATACTGCCATCACATCACTTTCAGAGAAAATATGATCTGCAAATGTAGAAAAATATCTCTCTAATTTAAAACTGGGGTGATATTTTGTAAAAGGTCGTGATATGCTGAGTTGTTCAGTGGCTCAGAAGCTGTTACACGTGTGAGTGACAGTGTAACAGTGGTTAGCTTTTTCTATAGTCCACTAATTTTCACAATATTTTAATAATTTTATATACCCTGTGCTCTTCAATTATGCTTTAAGAAAAGGATTATTGTTCTTAGTCTAGACAATGTAGTTCTACAAGACCAGCTCCGTTAACAACTCCTAAGATTGCCAAATGCGGGGTATATAGGTTCTGGAATAGTTGTTCATGGTACTTGAAATGATTAATCCTACAGCAGCAAGATTCTGCACATTTTGGAAGCGTAGAGGCAGTAGTGAGAGATGTGGTTTTTATCCCTGAAGTCCTTAGAATTTGAAATTACAAAGATTGACAGACGGCAGGGACATAGTGAGTCAAAAACCAACGAAGAGTGATGGGATGATAACAGCTTATTAGTTGCATTTTTTTCTTATTTTAAAATTAAGAATGTTACCAACTTGACCTTAGCTTAGTCCTATTTAAGTTTTTTTTTTTTCTTGGTTTTGATTTACAGTGTAGCAGTACCTGCATGTCTGCTGGTAAAATCAAACAGCAGGAAGATATGTGGTGTCTCTTAATGCATAATAGTCCAGTAGATCTACTATGTCAGTTGGGTGAGAGAGAGTTTAAAATTTTACCCTGTGTCTGGGAATGCTTTTGGAAAATATTTTTTGTTTCCTTGAATTACGTTCATTTACACTGTAATCAGGACAATGTCCTAAACACATTGAAAGACTAGTTCTGTGTAAAATATGCTATAAGAAAACCCTAGTCCCTAGGGTTTTAGGTACTTGCCTTCTGACCTTCCACACAATAAAAAAGTAAGCATACAATATAGATCCCTATCAGAATTGCTCAGCTACTAGCTTTTCATGAGGCTATAAAGTCTCAATGCACAGACCTGTTGTTGTATTGTACCTTGCTTAGGGTTTTTGCTGTTATCTCATAATTTGAAATATGTTTCCACTATTTGGAGGAATCTCTGAACTTACCTAACTTGTGATTAGTGAGCAGAGATGTTGAGATGCAGGACTCCTTTCCTTGCCAAAGCTTCTGCAATGTAATAGTATTCAGAGTTACCATGTAATGAAGAGACCACAGATTGGCCAGAAGAATATTCTAGTGATGTAACTCCAGTAAGGTCTCCTATATCTTTCTTTGAGCTTTTAGAAAAACAACTTATTTACACAGTGCCAGGACTTGTCTTGTGCAGGTAGTGCTCAAAGCAGTCAATATTATCCAGTTGAATAACTGGGGATTTCTAGAACTAGGATACTCTCAAAATAGGAACTTGGGCTCTGAGGTTAGGTCATCACTTAGCTCCAAGTTTAACTATTTTTGAGGATAACAGTAAACACAGTAGGAAATAAATACCCATTCTGTAATGTCACTTGCTGTCTAGAGCTAGTAGTTTCATTCAAAATTTGGGTTTAATTGCAGACAGCTACCTTTTATCTTGCAAGTTCTGTCATTGCAGAGCTAGAGTTTTTTGGTTTTTGTTTTTTTTTTAATTCATACCACTTGTGTTCTTTGGATATGATGATTTTAGAAGATATTTTGCTTTACATAAGACAGATATCTTGGTAAGTCTTAGGGGTAAGATCATCTCACATCTGCTATATATGGTTCTTCAGAGTGTGAGGTGAAAGCTTAGGAAATTTGCTGAAAATGACTATTGCATCAAGAAACCTCTAATTTGCACAATGGGCTGTATGTAAAGAATTTTGGAGATGTTAGTGTTTTGTAGGCTTGTTTTTCCCAATTTGACTTTGTCTAGGATTCAGAATTCTATTGAGACCTCAGGCTAATGAGACTTTGCTGAAGACATCAGCTAGAATAAGACCTGCCAAGACTTGGTTTTCCTGTATGAAGCTTGACTTAAGCTTAAAGTATGTTTATGGCAACTTCTATTGCTGTATGTGTACACTGCTAGTAAGCAAAAAACTTAATTCTGTTTGCTCTGCAAAACAGCTTAATTAGCATAGTTGGGACTGCCCATTTCAGTGTACAGTGATTTAAGGGCAGCTTACTAAGAGTATTTTCTATAAAGGTAATTTGACCTTTCTCCTGAAAAGGTCATGAAGCTGTCATTCAAAAAAAACCCCAAAACAACCACTTCCATTGCTTCAATTTCATTCGTGGAGATTTATTGAAGTTTTCTGCTAATACAAAATCTTGACTCAATTTTCCTATCAGTCTGATCAAACTTGAAAGGGTTTTCAGAATTGTTTTTGAGATACCAGTGAAGTAAAAGTGAAAGCCAAAGCAAAAATTACTATCTTCCCAAGTTTTTCTGGTCACATATCATGTTATAAGCTCTTTTTTTGAAAAGACATGGTTAGGTGCCTCCAAAAGAAAAACGCTAAACTGCATATTAGAGTGTATTTGTATGATTTGCACTGATATCAATGCATGTTATGAAGTTAAAGCCTTTGAAGCTGCTTTAATTACATCAGCTACTAAAGACCAAAGTAGCAGTCAGAAAAATTCTTGATGCCTCATCTGAGATATGTATAATTTTATTTTTTTAATGTCCTCAAGGAATCTTCATAGACCTATTCAGAATAGGGAGTCTGATGAGAATCAAAAGCTTTGGCTTTTGTATGTCTTTCACTTTCCAACGAGCGTGGGCATGAAACAGGAAAGAGATGGAGGATTTATATTTCATTTTCCTTGAGATCATCTTGAACTGAGAAAGTCCCTCTTGCAAGGCGTTTGAACAAAACATATGTTGCCTTGCTTCCCACCCATGTCAAAGGAATAACTGTGGTAAAAGAAAATATGGTCCAGGTAGCACCCTGGGCTGAACATCAGGATGCACTGTGTGCTTCATGACTTACGTTAGTTAACTTTCCTACACATCTATGTTGTTTCTTACTCCCTGTCTGGCTTTGCATGATTAGCATAAGTCTTACACAAAAGACTAAGTATTGTAACTAAAGTCATTAGTGTTCAATAAGTGCGTGTATATGCACATGAATGTGCTTGTTACAATGATTTTTAGATGTCTGAGTCTCCTCATGCTTAGTTATTGAATAAATTATTCCAATGTGTTTTCATAGCGTCTAACGTAAAGAGACTCCTCTCTCAGTTGCAGCTGCTTGGTGGGTCTCTAACATAATAATAAGCAATAAAAATGTGACTGAAGGGTGTTGGCTATTGCTTAGTGATGTTCTGCATTATGATTTCTGGTTGGTTTGTGGGGTTTTTTTTTTAAGTATTCTCCTAACTTTAGCATATGAATCAGAAAATACTGCATCACTCTACTATGTACAGTGAGTGGTGAGGCAGACTCTTTGGTGTGAAATATCATGCATTTGTAAATACACTCATAAACTGGCATATTAGCAAGTCAAATGTGGTGAGTCATCAAACCGATCAAGCAAATTTGGATATGAGCCCTTTACTCATAGAGAGACCATTTATTTGAAACAGCCAAAGGGTATAGTATTTCAAATCCAATTTTGTATATGAATACTTGGAAAGGGGAGCTGTTTTTAAAATTCTAGCAAACAGCTATGTTCAAACATAGCTTTCTAGCCAAGTGGCTGCTGTTACAGATTTTCTAGTATATATTCCCATAATGTATTATAGTCTTTGTTATAAGAGTGTCTGAGGTTGTAACGGAAAATCCTTACCCCAAGCAGCATGATTCAGGTTCAGTCAGAGCTTCTACTTTTGTATTTGTACCATTGTGTCTGCATCCTAAGCAAGTAAAATATATGTTCCTTGAGTAGGTACAATCGTATTTTTTCATTTCCAGAGGCCACCTTTACTTTCTAGACAGTGAGCACTGTATTTTCCTACCTATTTTCCTGTTTCAATGTTAAAGTTAATTGAAGTATCTTTGCTTCTATAAGGGCCTAGTTTATTTGCTATTATGTATATCAATTGCTCTTATCAAACCTTCTTTCGGCCGAAGTGCTACAGAGTTTTAGTATCTGTTTTGCTAAGTAAAGCATTAGCAAGGAGTGAAACAGTCTTTCTTTTTCTTTCATTCTCTCTCTGTCTGTCTGTGTGTCTTCTTTTTAGGGAGACAGATTTGGCCTAAAGATGTATCATTTCTTTTGGGTTTGAAGTGAATTCTGTGTGACAGATCCTCCTTCAGGATTTTTTTTTTAATTCAGAGGATCTTAGAAAAGTAGGAAAAATAGAGGCACTATATTTCAGGGCATGACAGTAAGTATGTTTGAACACAAAGAAAAGATTTAAGACTTTCAGAAATGCGTTTGCTTTCTGCAAGTCCTCTGCTGTTGCTCTAGAACTGATATAATTGCTGTAAGATGACCAAAAATGGGAAAACTAGTGTAAGTTTGGCATGAAAATCTTTTTTTCTTAGCTACTGTTTGAGTGATTAGATGCCTCTGTTCTTGTTCTATGATAATGCTTGTGATGTTACTAATGTTGAAATAACATGCCATGTAGACAAAGATGTGGGGTATTATGTTACAGTGCACTGATTATATGGGAAAATTGTAGAAGAATTTCCTAATCTTGCTACTCAGACCTTCAGTTAGCTGAAATATCTTTTGATTTAAACATATGCTTATTCCTTATTCAAAATGAGATACCATTTGTAGGAGAGAGTGGTCTCATGTCAAAATTACCATCAGAGAAATGGTTTTATAGGAATGTTTTAAGACAAATGCTTAAGAAAAATATTTGCTTTAAGGCAATTCTTTCCAAGTGCACAGATAATAAATATCATCAAACATTACCCCTCCCTCATACATTTTTTTTTGCACTGTGCAATAAATGACATGAACGTTTGGGTTCAGTTTTATTGCTTATTTGATGTTTGACCAATAACTGGTCATACCCCTGTCTTGAAGGTCTTAAAATCAGTAGGATTATTTAAGAAGTAAGGTATTGTATGTCCAGTAATTTGAATAGTTAGCTAATAGAATGGCAGCAATAAAACCATGGTAGAACAAGGTTTAGACAACCCATCAAAGGTCCTCAGAGAAAGTGAGTAAATATTCTAGCTTTTTATCCAGACTAGAGACAATGTTGTGGCTATGGTGGTGGAAGTAACTGTAGTAATTTAATGCACATACATCTTCTGTGGACATCTAGTCAGCGTGTGTTATTAGTTTCTGTGAAATTATGAAAGTATTTATTAAAATGCTATGTGGGGCTGGGAATTTAGGTACGATGCAAGCAAATATTTGATACATCAAAAAGCAGCCCCACAGTCAAATGGGGGTTTGGAGTTTGTTTAACACTCCTTTAAAAAGGTTATTTTGACACCAAGTCTGGGAAATAAAAGATATTAACATGTATGCATATTTTTTTTTAAGGCAGAGATAATATTTATGCATTTGTTTCAGGTATCATTAAACGAAGTTTTAGTGCTTCTGAAAGACAACCTCAGAATAGGTAGGTATGATTTATGATTTTAATATAGATTATATAATTGATCATTTTTATGATCAATTCCAGTCAGTCTTCTCACAGTGGAACAGTTGAGTGATTGCCTTTATAAAACATTTCCTTACTTACCATTACAACTTCATTTTATCTCAGCCTATGACACTCAATCTGCTTGAGGATATTGTTAGAGGGTTTTTGCACACAGAATCTTTATGTGAGTAATTAAGGGCTGGCATTAAACAGATACATAGTTTTAAAAGTTAACCTTGCTGTATCAGCTTAACCTGACATTAGTTGGTTAGCCAAATTCTGTTTCTGTATTTTTAGGCAGCTGTTTTACCATAGAAAAGTGTGTGTGTGTATTTGATAGTGCAGAGTAGTATCTTGTCCTGTTGAACTCCTCTAGACCTTCTATATAAATGTAGATAGCCATTTTTGGAATTCTGCAGCCCTCATTTCTTTCAAAAAGGAAACAAACTGAAACAGAATATGGCATGGCCATCCCCATTCTCCTTCTAAATGTCTTTCCTTTTTCTTCTGTTATTTATTCAGAAATGCATCAAACAGTCTTGACCAGTCATTATTTTTTCTGATCTCCTTGGGACCACTCTTATTCATAGACTCTGTTCTTTGTTTCTTCATTTCTGCTTTTCTTTCACATCTGAGAATAAAACCTAAATCACTCTTGGCTCCATCTGCCTCCTGAACAATTTTTTCCTCTTACCTTTAACTTAACTAGGTAAGTATTTATAATAACAGCATTGATTCCTTTCCCCTTTTTCTCCACAGACCCTGTTTGATCCAGCTTTCACTTAAGGAATATTACTGTAGCAACTCTTACTAAGCTGTTTAATGATGTCTTCCAAGTCATAGTTGCTCTATTTTCTTGATCTACTACTTACCGTTAGAGCTATCTTTGTCGTATTAAAATCAGCTTTTCTGACTCTTCTGACTCTGTCCTTTTCTAATTCTCCCCCTATCTTTTGAAACTATTCTTAAGGACCATAGAGAAGGATACTAGTTTATCTGTTCATCTGATTTCCTCTAAATGTTATATGTGGCTTTATCACCAATTCTCTTGTCTTTTCTTCTGCACCTTGTCTTTGCATGTACAAATGTGTCTGCTTATTTATCTACCTGCAAAATCATGCTGCAAATCATGAATTTAGCTGTATACACCAGATGTATTTCCTTCTGCTGTACTAAATTTTTGCTCATGTCTGTAAGATCTCTTTGTGGCCATGTGGCCATAAAGTTGAGTACTACATAACTAAAAGGAATGTCATAATTGCCTGTACCTGGAGTCCTGCCCATTAGCTCAGGTTTTGATCATTCTCAAAAATAACTTCCATCCTCACCAATACTTTGACATCTGAGCATCCACTTTAACTTGCACGTGTCTCAAAGTTCTTACGTTCAGAATAAGTCTCACTCTTCTGCCTGGTACCTCTAAGATATAACCTTTCCTATCAGTATATGCTGCTAAAACTTCTGCTTGGGTCCATAAGACTATCATGCAAACATCTTTCCTAGTTCTAATACATGCATTCTAGTTACTCAACTGCCCACTCAGAAGACTGCCGCAAGGAGCATTTCTACAGCCCTACATTCAACCTTGCCATCTTCTATCTGTATCCTTTTACTGGTTGTGTTTTTCCTATGACTTCAAACGCAATACTTTATATTTGCTTTCAGAGTTGTTCTTAACATATCACCGTCCAGTCTGTTACTTATCACTCACTAGCTTTCCAGCTTTAGTCCTGCTGCAGTCACTAATGGCAACCCCCTGATGCTTGAGTGTTGACGCAAGCATGTGTTTTTTCCTCAGTCTCTGCCACTCACATAAACATCAGCAAAACTATTTCCTTATCTTTCTTCATAACTACTCTTTGAAACTGTAGTTTTCCCTACCGCCTAAAAATATATACAAATTCTTGCCATGCGAGGGCTGTTGAGGCTGCCATCTATCAGGACATCATATCGGTTCTTTCTGTTCCCCATCAGTCTGTATCCATTTGTTGTTGCTTATCTCAGCTAGTGAAATCTGCGGGCTGGGACAGTGTTTGTCTATAGAGCAGAAGCTAGCACTGAAACATCTGGACCTGTATTTCTGACGTTGAGGTATTGCTGTCCTGGTGACATAACATTAATTAATTGTTTTTCCCCACTTTACTAGTACTGTATGCATTATTACTCCTGTTTTTATCCCCTAGACAATAATTGCTTTACTCTTTATGTTTTTCATCCATAAAATGGGTTAATTGAAATGTCCTTAAGCATCTAGAAATGTAAAATAATTTGCGATCTAGTGGATTATTGAGTTTTAAATATCTGTCTTTATAAATAGACAGATTTTAAATAATCCTGTCTACTGTAATTGTACTTTCCAGGCTAAAAACTGAGCATGGAAAAGAATGGAGTCTAACTTTTATTTAGTAGAAGTCATGCTATTTTGGACACGTAGAGTAAGCCAGCCTTTATGTGACTTATAAATGCACAGTTACAAACTAGTGAATTTCGACAGATTTCCTTTAGAGGAAACATGAGAAGGAGTCAGGGGATACTGATACTTCCTCTACAGTCATTGATGACAAACACAATTAAAACGACTTTTTTTTTTTTATTATTTTTTTAAATAATAATAGAGATTATATTGAAGGTCCGGGATCAAGACTGCGACCAGGTAATTTTGTGCTTGCAACAAAATCAAACTTTAACTTAAATTAAACCTAACAATTTCCAAGTTTTTAGACCTTATTCTCCTGTTGCATATAGAGTGTCTCCTCTTTTATTTCTCCAGCTTTGCTGCCTATTGATCTCTTCTTGAGAGTGGGCAGGGCCCATACTAAGAAAAAAGATGATTAATTTGTGACGGGGTGGCAATCTTATAGTCTTCTAGTTGGGGTTCTTTGCAATATGAAAAATCATAGTATTATCTAATAATTATATATTAAAATGTTAGAAAACGAGATAATTATATTTCAAACACGAATGTCTGAAATATCCTTAAGGAGTTTTTTAAAAATATGAATTCCAATAGTAAATCAGTAAGACCTCATTTTAGTGGTCATTATCCTGGCTAAACGTCTGCGGAATGCAATGGGAATTTCTCCTATGAAAGGAATATTTCATACAGCCCTTGTAAATTATCATCTGTTTATACATTATCATTGATGAAACATGTTTTCCATCTGAGATACTTCTCTTTCTTATTGAGAAGCTTCACAGCATGTGAGAAAGAAAAGCTGTGATTTCAGAATGCATATTGTCTGAATTAAATAATATTTGAAAGAAAATTATTTTGAGCAGTTGAAATATTTTCATTAGAAAGTACTTTTTGTCTATACTAACTTCTATTTCACAGCTTTTTGATAGAAAAATTGTATTAGGAATTCAAATTATGCAGTATAAATCCAAATTTGCTGTCCACTTCCAGCAGTTTTCAGTGCTGTTTACTGAAGAGTGTCATTATAATACAAACACACAGTTTAAACCCTCTATCCATCCATAACATATCAGAGGTACACTGATCTGCAGACAAACACTTTGGCCTTTGTTAATATTTTCAGTCCTGTGGGTAATTTGAGCAAATCTGGTATCTTTTGTCAGTAATGTTTTCCTTTCTGGGTAAAACTCTTAAAAGTTTTGATCAAGTCATCAGCAGCGTATTCACACACCACAAATAATGATCTACTTCTCTATTTAAAAAAAAATATAATTGTGGAGTGGTCTTGGAGTATATGGACTTTATGGGAACTCCTAAAGTTCCTAGCTGGATATTGTGTCTCTAGCCCTCTTTGAAGCACATAGACACTGCAGCTAAGCATTACATCTGGTCTTCCTAGACTGGTAAGTCTTAATGTTACCATCATAATAGGAAAAAGAGAAGGCTGTATGCATGGAATAATAGAGAAGTCCATATTATGTCCTACTCGGTTCTTTCTGTTTGCTGATATCATAGAATAATTTGGGTTGGAAGGAACCTTTAAAGGTCATCTAGTCCAGCCTCCCTGCAGTGAGCAGGGACATCTTCAACTAGATCAGGTTGCTCGGATCCCCGTCCAACCTGATCTTGAAGGTTTCTAGGGATGTGGCATCTACCACTTCTCTGGGCAACCTGTTCCAGTGTTTCACCACCATCATTGTAAAAAAAAAAAAAAATTTCTTCCTTATATCTAGTGTAAATCTACACTCTTGTAGTTTAAAGCTATTACCGTTTGGTCCTATCGCAACAGGCCCTGCTAAAAGTTTGTCCCCATCTTTCCTGTAGGCCCCCTGTAAGTACTGAAAGGCTGCTATAAGGTCTCCCTGGAGCCTTCTCTTCTCCAGGCTGAAGAACTCCAACTCTCTCAGCCTGTCCTCATAGGAGAGGTGCTCCAGCCCTCTGATCATCTTTGTGGCCCTCCTCTGGACCCACTCTAACAGTTCTGTGTCTTTCCTGTGCTGAGGGCTCCAGAGCTAGTGCAGTACTCCAGGTGGGGTCTTGTGAGAGCAGAGTAGAGGGGCAGAGTAACATCCCTCGACCTGCTGGCCATGCTTCTTGTGATACAGCCCAGGATTTGGTTGGCATTCTGGGCTGCAAGCGCCCATTGTCAGCTCATGTCCAGCTTTTCATCCACCGGTACCCCCCAAGTCCCTCTCGGCAGGGCTGCTCTCAATCCTTTCATCCGTCAGCCTGTATTTGTGGTTCGGATTGCTGCAACTCAGATGCAAGACCTTGCACTTGGCCTTGTTGAACCACATGAGGTTTGTGTGTTCCCACTTCTCGAGCTTGTCCAGGTCCCTCTGGATGGCGTCCCGTTCCTCAGGTGTGTCAACCACACCACTCAGCTTGGTGTTGTCTGCAAACTTGCTGAGGGTGCACTCGATCCCACTGTCTGTCATTGATGAAGATAGTGAACAGTACTCATCCCAATATGGACCCCTGAGGGACACCACTTGTCACTGATCTCCATCTGGACATTGAGCCATTGACCACTAGCCTCTGGAAGTGACCATCCAACCAATTCCTCATCCATCAAACAGTCCATAAAATCCCTATTTCTGCAATTTAGAGAAGTATGTTGTGGGAGACCGTGTCAATGGCCTTACGGAAGTCAGATAGACAACATCTGTAGCTCTGCCCTTGTCTACAGATGTAGTCACTCCATCACAGAAGGCCACTAGGTTGGTCAGGCAGGACTTGGCCCTGGTGAAGCCATGCTGTCTGTCTCAAATCACCTCCCTGTCCTCCATGTGCTTTAGCACAGCTTCTAGGAGGATCTGTCCCATGATCTTACCAGTCACAGAGGTGAAGCTGACAGGTCGGTGTTTCCCAGGGTCCTCCTTTCTACCCTTTTTAAAAATGGGTGCAATGTTTCCCTTTTTCTAGTCACCAGGGACTCCACCCGACTGCCATGACTTTTCAAATATCATGGAGAGTGGCTTGGCAACTACATCATTCGAAGCATATTTTTATTCAGAAAAAAAAAAAGTCTGAGAAGACCCACAAAGGAAAGGGCACTCATTTATTTGTTGTTGTTTTGTAATATAAGCCATTGACAGCAAAGGAGAAGTCAAATACCACAGAACAGGGAGCAGTGAAAAAGGTAATATGCCGAGGAAGTAAAGTTTTTATCAGTGTCCTAACAAAACCTGAAGATTCCTAAGTTGTAACAGCAAGACCACTATTTATTTTGGGATTGAATATAGCAGTGTTGAAACAGTTGGTAGAGAGGTGCAAATGAGGCAAAAAGACCTAAACCAAAATAGTTCTTCTCATGGTATATAATATTTTAGGTTATTATAGAGGGGCTTCCACTGTCGGCTTGTGCAGAAAGACCAACATAAATTCTTCCTGAAGTGGCTCAGGGGAAATGCAAGACTACTTTTCCTCTTATTGGTTATTAAGAGGAGGCTTAGGGAAAAATGTTGAACTGAATTTCACTCTCAACCCATCTGCCAAAAGGCATTACCACAAAAAATTCGACAATAGCAATGATGTTTTTATCTTCCTGATTGTGCTAGAAATGTGTGTCTCTGTGATAGAGAATGACATTTTCTATATCTCTTTATTTTTTGTTAGAGCACAACTCAGATCTGGCTGGTCCTTAGACACTTCAGTTTGTGAATGTCTGCCTTCTGCTTCTTTTTAAGGTAGCCAGCACAGAAATTCAACAGGAAAAACAAAAAAGATAATAGTTCAGTTGTGGGCTAATTAATTTTGGTACCTAGATTTCATCTTCCTCTCAGTAGAATTTTCATTCTTGATAGCAGATCACTTGGCAAAAAAAAAAAAAGCTTTAGATGAATGTAAATCTGTACATAAGACTTTATGATCCTCAAGATGATTCTGTATGAGGAAATTTTAGAATATGGATCTAAATTAGCCTCTGAAGTGTAGTTTAGAGATAACTGTATTTAGGAGAGATACAGGGCTGCTGGCTCAAGTTCAATACTTGGACCTAAGCTCTTTGCTTAGCTTCCCAGTCTAATACTCAACTTGGAAAGATAATTTTGGTAACTAATGTATTTTAGTAATACACTAAGTGTTTTATAGTGGCAGTTTGCTGATAAGCTTCTATTTAATCTCTGGGTCTGACAGTGTGTATGACTTATACACATAAGATTAAGAATCATAAATAACGACTAATTTACTACATAAAAATTCAAGAATCTGATTTAGTTTTGGCTCTATACTCTTTCTCAGCAGGCAAAGCATGATAAAGGAGCACTAGGTAAATAAGAATCAAGCTGTTCTGTTTGTTTTAATTGTTATATTTAAAATCCGAATGATATTTTGTAAATTTGCACAGTTCGGAGAATACGTAATATTTACTTCTATGTCATAATTCTATTAAATTGCCTAAAGCTTGATCAGCAGTATTTGTCTATTGGTTCTTATGGCTGGAATTAAAATTATTCCATGAAACACAAATAGATTATTAGGTTGGGGTTTTTTTTTGTTCAATAGGGAAGTTCATAATGGTCTTTAGTTAACAAAATGTAGTCAACCTTTTAGATATAACATCTGCAAATCAGTACTGAGTTTACTGTGCTTTGTAAATTTTAAGTAATGCTCACTCATTTAGGTAATCAAGTGAATTTGGTTTTGCTTTTTATCAAGCTGCCTTTGGCTAGTATTTTTCAAATATCTCATTGAGTATGGCAGGAAACAAATCACATGGATATTTGATATTACAAGCTGGTAAATTAGGGCAGTTTTGCTTTAGAAAAAGAGCACAGTCTTTTAATCGCCAAGTTAATTGTACTACAAGAAAAAAATGTACCTGCAGCAGACAAGTATATCTATCTCAAATTCTGGATGACCAAGACCATATCTGATTTAATGGCTGTTTGTGACGAGTCCCAAACAGTGGTTCGATGGGGAAAATAAACATTCATTTTTAGCTTTTGTTTTCAATTCTTGATCCCAAGAACTTAATATTTTCACATAGCTGATATATGTTTTTTTCTGATAGAGGTAAATGAACAGGTTAAAATTATGTTAAATTTATTTTGCTGAAAGGAGAGCATAGCTTCTATACGTGCATGACTTCCTTTGCAATGCTTTTGTCTGTGAAAAGAATACATTATGTACATGGATTTGCTTGACAGAGGATGGTAGTCTAGCTTTAGAGGAAGAGGAACACGTTTATGCCTACTCACTATTTTCATAAGATAAGAAAAATTCATCTTTTTAGCTCCTTGCAATGATGATTAATTCACTCTTATCTAAATAAAATCAATAATAATCTCATAAAAGTGACACGAGGAAGCCTAAATATTTTAAGTGCTGCAATATTCTTAATTCTAAAGTAAAGTTTTCCTTTTAATTCCAAACTGACTCTGTTCTTTACTTCAGAACTTGTACTACAAAATGTATTGTCATTGCCATCGGGTATGATGGATGCTTTTTAACAGAGATCACATTTGGATACGCAATTAAATAGTTAAGCACTAAAATATAAGCCTATGTGTGCACTGTTTGTGAGTTGGTGTATGCATATCTATTGTGCGTGTTGTTAGGTAATACCTAAAGGAAATGTTCAAATACAATGTTTTTTAAAAAAGGGTTTTTTTTGAATATCTGTTTTAGAAGAAAATATTAGAAACAACTTATAGCAATGTTATTTTCTCAAAGTGTCAATACTTTACTATTGTGGATCTCCACCTTCACGATCTCTTCTTAGTAATTAGTCAATGAATATTATATCTTCTGATCTGTCTGGTGTACAAGTCTACTTGAAATGTTACTGCTTAGAGAAATGATATGGAGATATATTAAGAGACACAATGTTTTTCAACACTGATAAAACATTTGTTTTCTAAATTAGTTTAGTCTTTTCTTTTTCTTCAGACAGGCCAACTTTATATCCCATGTAATATGGCAGGGCCGGGGCGGGGGGCGGGGAATGTAATGTAATGTGCATAGCTCATAACTACGTGCATATGTACATGGGAATTTGTGTTAGTATTTTCTGGTTTGCATAACCCCATTTTGTGGTTTGCTTAACCTTATGCATTTTTCTATCAATATCTAACTAGCTTTGCATTTAAAATTTTTTAAAACCCACTTTTCCCTTATATTCTCTGGTCAACACTACTATTCTTGTGAAATTTACAAGCAAAAGCAACATACAGGCTGTAATACAGAGCAGTTGTCGGTATTTGTGGGGAGAAGAATTTTTACAGCATTATTCTTTGCTTAGCATGGATATTCTTTTATTCTAAACATGAAAAATGCCATTTACGCGTTTTATGATGGTGTCATTTTGATCATGGAGAATGCTGGTAACATTCCTTTCCACAGTCTCCATCATACATCCTTTAGATAAGGTGGTCTCTGGTGGGGAGGAATTTATGACAAAGAGCAGAAATCACTAATTTTCTGATGCAAATTAAAGAAGACCCAAGAGATTCATAGCTTCTTGCACATTTTCTTGAGGTTTCTCTCAAAACATGCTCTTGCTAGATGTTGGAAATGAAAAGTAGCTGGGATAAAGCAACACACATCACTATAAGGCAACATGAGAATATATTTTGATAAAATTGTTCTCCAAATGGTCCACATCAAACATCTTATTATAATTCCTAGGGAAAAATGAAAATAAGTTTCATAACATCAAAATATATAAAAAATAAATATCATGTGTGTCAGTCTATGTAAAAAAAAAATCAGTTAAAATAAGAAAATTCTGTTTATCATATCTTTAAATTTCCTTTTGAATAAATGTGGGAAAACTTTGATGATTAGTAAGAAACATTAATACTTCTTTTCTCTTAGAGCAACATAGAAGTGAATCAGATAAAGGGATTTTTCTTTTGAAACCCATTATCAATTACCTTGTCTAATCTTTTAAGTTTTTAGATTATGCTTTTTTTTGTTCCCAACACTGTTGGAAAAACAAGTCATGCATTAAAACTTAATATTTACATCTACAGGTTTTACAAAGTGTTCACTATTAATATATTAAGGCAACAAAATGAGTTGTTCTCCTGATTTTACTGTTGTCATCTACAGCATCGGCAGGAATTGCAGTATCACAAAGGAAGGTGCGTCAGATCAGTGACCTTCAGCAGATTCTTATTCAGCTGCACAAAATTATCTTCATCACTCAAGTATGCTTTACTGTTGCTTCTGACATTCTATACTTTTTAGTTATTTGCTGTTGTCAAAATGATGGTACTGCAAAGTAGTGCTAATTTAGTCACTGTTCTTTAAAAACAACAGAGCTTGACATTTTTGCAGATGGCAGGATGCTTTAAAAATATATCATTTAAATAAAGACTAACCTTGAATATTAGTATGTGGAGGATGGCAATAATTGAGTCATATGAAAAAAAATTTATTGGATCACCTCAGAAAAATGGATTGTACAGTAAATTATTTTTACAACATTCTGCCATGCCACCAATATGAATATTTTAACTGCCTTAATATCATACACTGATGTAGAGACTACATAAAATGCTTTCCTCTACAGCAATGATTTCTGAATAACTTCTAAGTAATATTTTTTATTACAATAAATAGTAATAATTCTGGGGGATTTCTAGTGCAATAGTTCAAATCCTGAATATGTTAAATATTTTGAAATGTCAGATCTTTTTCAAACTTAAGATTTATTTTAAAATTAAGTTAAAATGTTTCATAGTGAAAGAGAGTTGAAGTTATTTCGTGCTGATTCCAAAGCAAAAATGGGTCTGATACAAATCTGTATTGAACTCTCAACTAAAAATGTGACAGAAAACTTTTTGTTCTCTAGAAAGACAGCTGCCATTCAGTGACTTGCAAAATTTGCTATTATTAAATAAACATTTGTTTATTTTCCAAAATGGAGTGTTTATATTTGGGAAGTGATGTTTATCACCTCAGGGGATTTCAGATTGCTGAGCCAAATTTTTTTTTCTGTTTATAACCGAATAGCATAACTGAACTTGGGTGTGTTTTACATGTCTTTTTTTTTAACCATCAAGCTTATCAAAACAGGTAATACAGGAAATAAATTATCAGAGACAAAGAAAACAATTATTATTTAAAATAAATGGAAATTATCTCCTTACCCTGCTAACACAAATGAGGCGGTTTAGTCTTCACAGGCTATGTTAGGAGTGTGTCCAAGATGCTCATGAGTGAACCTATCCCCTCTATTGAAGAAGGTTTTCTCAAGTGGCCTACTAATTAATGCAAGTTATCGTAACATGGGTGCCCCGTAACTGAGAACTAACAGCAGCTCAAAGACTTGCTCAGAATTGACCACTGAAGCAGTAGTAACAACTTTGATACTTTTGGTGTCAATTGGTTTCGGAATGGGAAGGCAGAGAAACCGGGATCCATACCTGTACTTCTTCACCATGTACTATGTGCTTCTCTTGTACTTGTTTATGTTCTTACAAATCTAAGGTAGAATATTTTTTGTAATACATAGCTGCTTTCTAAAACTCTGTTACATATTTCAGCTGACAATTCTAAAATGAACTTTACAAGGGAGAGTTCTTGGCTGTCAGCAGCCTTCCCAATCCAGTTTCCATGGGAACAAGAGTCAGAGTGATCTCTGGAAAACAATGTAAGAGGAAGCTTTTAAAAAAGCATTATGTAAATCCTTGGCCTTTTTTTAAAAACAAACAAACAAACTCCCCCCAAAACCCAAACTGATCTGACATCTGATTTCATTAAAACAAAAGCTGAAGCTGAACACTAGTGCCTGAGGCAACTCTGAATTTCTCAAGCAGTGGACTTGTTCCTTACCAATTTTGCTTCAGAATGTCCCAGTATGCCCATGGTACATTAACTGCACACAGTTCATTGCAGTGGCATGTAGTCTATAGAGTAACTTGCAGGCCTTTCCTAAGGCATCATTTTTTTTAATCACTTATAGGCTAAGGAACATTCAACATCTGACTTAAAGCATATGTGTAAGGCCTTCTCTGCATGAAAAGACAGTGGTATCTATCTATAACAAAAAAAACCTGTATGCAACCAGCTGTCTGATGAAGTCTTTTATGCTTAGGATGTAATCTTGATGCCTGGTTTGCCAGAGCAAATCAAGACTCCTGTGAGGCCAGTATAACTGTTCCAGATTTATAGCCATCTAAGAGTAGTAATTTGTTCCAATGGGAAAAAAAAAAAGTCTGTATAATGTATATTATGACAGTGTTTGAAGGTGAATCATTAGTAGTCAAACGTTCCCTGAGTGGCCAAAAAGCTTCATGAATTCAGTGGAGTGGCACTTTGTAAATTTATATCAAAGATGTGATTATAAAGCGAATACTAAATGGTAGAAAATCATAGTTTTACAAACACTGTCTGCAGATATAAGCACCTATACAGAAACAGCACAGGAGATCCTTCCAAAAGGGTAGTACATACCATAGAATTGTCATCAGGTACGCAAGTCCATGCGACCTGATGAGATGCATTCATAGGTCCTGAGAGAACTGGCGGATGAAGTTGCCAAGCCACTATCCATCACATTTGAGAAGGCATGGCAGTCCGTTGAAGTTCCCACTGACTGGAAAAGGGGAAATATAACCCCCGTTTTTAAAAAGGGAAAAAAGGAAGACCTGGGGAAGCTACAGGCCAGTCAGTCTTACCTCTGTGCCTAGCAAGATCATGAGGCAAATCCTCATGGAAACTCTGCTAAGGCAGATGAAAAATAAGTAGGTGATAGATGACAGCCGACATGGCTTCTCTGAGGGCAAAACACGCCTGATAAATTTGGTGACCTTCTACAATGGGGTTACAGTGTTGGTGGATAAGGGAAGAGCAAATGACATCATCTACCTGGACTTATGCAAAGCATTTGACACGGTCCCACATGATGTCCTTGTCTGTAAATTGGAAAGACATGGATTTGATGGATGGACTGTGTGATTGATAAGGAATTGGCTGGATGGTCACACTCAGAGTTGTGGTCAACGGCTCGATGTCCAAGTGGAGACCAGTGATGAGTAGCGTTCCTCAGGTGTTGGTATTGGGACCAGTGCTGTTAACGTCTTTATTGTTGATGTGCATGTTGGGATTGAGTGCACCCTCAGCAAGTTTGATGATGACACCAAGCTGAGTGGCGCAGTTGAAATGCTGGAGGGAAGGGATGCCATCCAAAGGGACCTGGACAGGCTTGAGAGGTGGGGCCAACCTCATGCAGTTCAACCAGGCCAAGTGCAAGGTCCTGCATCTGGGTCGTGGCAATCCCAAGCACAAATACAGGCTCAGTGGAGAATGGATTGAGAACAGCTGGAATGACTCGTTATAGCCAACGTGAAATCTAGTCTAATGTTATATGAGCTTTTTCTGTAGAAAAATGTCCAAATACTATCACTTTAATCGGGGAAGCAAATCTAGTATTACCTGTATTAGGCTTGTTATAATGATCTTTACCTTCAAGGCTAGAGGGACTGAGTTATATGATATGCCAAGCCTAACAGAACGGGCAAACTAAGGAGCATTGTTATAATATGCCATGAAATCAAGTCTTGTACTGTTGTTTATCACCATGCTGTTAAATATCAGTGTATTTTTTTGCAGTGTAACTACTTTTTTCAATAATGGTACTGCTGATTAGGTCATTTTTACAGCAGGTGTAAACGTCTGTTTCTCTGTTTCACGCAGCTTCCTCCAGCTTTGCAATGCAACTTGAAAAGGAGAATCATTGAGAGATTTAAGAAGTCCCTCTTCAGTCAGCAGAGCAATCCTTGTAATCTGAAATCGGAAATGAAAAAGGTGTAGTACACCAATTACTACTTGTGGTCAACTTTGTATCTTCTTCTGTTTGAAATAAGCTATCAATATTAATATCTTAAAAATACAAGAATAAGAGTCAATTTTTAAAAGGAGATATTTAGAGTATTCTCTAGCTATCCTTTATTTGGAAAATATGGAGGGCTCTTAAGTAAGCAATTACTACAGATTGGTTTTAAGTTTGTGTCTGATCATTAGAACATTTTTTTCAAATGGAAAGGACCTGCTAGCTGCTAATATGCAAAAGCGAGACTTATCTCCTCAGAGCTCAAAACGAGAAGAGAAAGGAAAATGTAACTTTTTGTGGGAAAGGCTGATAGAGATTATGTAAGCTCTTATCTATGTAAACTATTCTTAATTTTTTATTCATTTCCCAATATTATTAATGTTTTGGAATGTTTTCCTGCTCAAACTATGAATTTTAAGAAAGCACTGTTCCAGAATGTCTTGAATGTAGCATACCTTGTCCTGTTGTTATATAGTGTGTCAGCAATAGATTAGTGTCATCAGTTTAAAAGTACTGCCAATTTGCAAGAAAGGCATGACTAAAGAACCATGCCTGCATGTTTTCCAATGATATGCTGGGCACTCTCCAACAGAGAAAGAGCTGACAACTAGTATCAGAATTTCTAAATGTTCCTTCAAAATCTCCTGAGAGGATTGTAGTCAGCAGAGGATCTGAAAATGACATCCTCGGCATCTGTGTACTGGGGGAGACAGTGAAGCTAAGATATTTCATTTTTGAATTGATGACAAAGCAGTTATTAGGTATGTTACTTTATCTAAAATTTGATGATTTTTTATTACGCACGTAATTCCCTTGTGTGTTTTTCACTTACTTGCACTGAATTGTGGAATCTTCTGAGTCATTGTTTGCTACGGAATGGACTGACCCCACATGCTAAATCCTTCCTGTACTTTTGTAATAATTAATCTGAGATACTTAGGCTCCATGGAAGGAGTTTGCATTGGTCTACACTGGTAATGCATTTCAAAGATAGTGAAAGATGCCTCTCTCTGAGCCATTGGTTTCACACAAATTTGCTGTCCTGTAAATCTGTCTGGGATTTACATTAAACAATTCCCTTATTTCAGCCATAACATTATATCTAAGGAAATATTTGCTAATCATGTATTGAGTTTATATTTTTAGGAAAGGGTGCCCAAAAATATGGTAAGAAACAGGAAATATTTATTATAAAATTAACCTAATTTTGAAATGCCCAGAAATAAAGGAATATATTTATTTATAAATTTATATATGTTAACAACTGTGAAATTGTGTTAGCTTCAAAACTATTGGATTTAAACCTGAAGAAAAGTGTAGAAATACACTATTTTAAAAGTAAATGGTAATAAATTGAAGATGTTTGAAATGCTGAATGCAATTCTGGGCATTTCTACCTTGAAGGAAATAGTTAATAGAAGTAGTTAATAGAAAGCAACAACAAAAAGCGCAGTTAGAAGGATGGAGAATCGATAAGCATCCATGAATAAATGGTACATATTTTACCAAAAATCACCACCATAAATACATTCGGTAACATGGATATCATTTACAGGTAATAGGAAGAACCTAAATAGCAAAAAGAATTAGGTTGAAGTCTTCCAGCGAGTGTTGTTATGAAGTTGTATAATTTTTGCACATAAAATTAAAAAATCATGGGTTTTTAACTATGCTGAATTAGAAAACCTAATTACAATAACAGACAAAAAGATTCCTCCACTGATTGGTGGTGGGGTAGAGGTCTTCCAACAACAGATATTCTTCTGTTTCTGTAACTGTAAAAGTGTTAACGTGCTGCAGAAATGCATAACTGGAATTTCTTTCCTGCCTGCAAAGATATTTTCATGTCAGAGGTGTTTCAAGTGGATATTTTCAAAACTGGATGTCTTTAAGTTTAATGTCAGTATCCTTGTTCACATAATCAAGTAGCTGAACTGACTGTCAGGTTTCAGAATTGGTGGGACCCATCTAATGGGAACTATACCACTTGAATGTGGACTAACAATTTCACTTAAAGCCCCAGTTTTGAAAAGTGGAGTCATCAGCTGTTTCTCTTCTAGGTTTGAGGGCATACATTTCCCTGTTTGCCTTCACACAAACGCATAGTTTATGACATCTTATTCAAAAAGTCTGAAGAACTCAGTGCTTTATATTAAGTGCAGATTGGCAGCTTGTAATGTTCAGTCAGTGTTTCTGGAGAAAAGGTAGAATGTTCATAATTTTATTCACCACTTTTTCATTAACCTAAAAAGTATTGAAAATCTCCTTTGACTCCTGGTTTCACTGGGAAACAGAGGAAAGGGTAAACTGCTTCACAGTAGTCTGAAGTTTTGGCAAACAGGAAGGATGGAGATTTCATGTGTCCTTTGCTTTTTTTTTGGTTTTTTTTTTTTTTCTCTCTCCTTTCCTTCCCCAGCTGCTGCAAGGTTCACCTGAAATGATTGAGTCAAACTTCTTCACAGCAGATTGGCATGTGGTACTTCTCTCTTCAGGTGGAAATATGTTGCTTCCAGGTGATAGAAAAGGTAAAGAAAGCAACAAAACCTCTGCAGTGCCATATATACGTCTATAAAGTGTATGGTATCAAAGCAAAAGAAATTGCTGTTCAAAGATACTTCTTTAAAGTCAGTAAAGTTATATTGACTGTACTGTTTTTCATTATCAGGGGTGGGTTTTTTGTGTTGTATTTTGTTTAATTTCTGATAAGATATGCGGTTTACCACTGATGGAACATTTTACTAATTTAAGAGAGTATACTTTGGAACAACAAAGATATATCGAAGATGCAAATAACACGTGGTTCATCCATGAAAATCAATAGAAATGTTTGTAATGGAAAATGTCCTGCTTAGGATTTACCTGTCCTTGCACATGATTTTTAAACAAACTCTATTTAAACTCTGTGTTGTTCTTCTGTCACGTTTGAAACAGTTATACTGGGATGATTTAATTACCTAGCTAGATCAAGCCATACAAACTTGAGGAGTGTAATGCTATGTGCTACACCACATCTATATAATGTAAAGTGTGTGTCTATATATATATACACACTTTAGAAAATGAATAGTGTCAAATATACTTTGGACTACTGATACTCAGCGTGGCAAATCATGAATTCCATCTTTAATCAAACCTACTATCACTGGCATCATCCAAGGTGGTAGGGAACCACAATTCCAAGTTCAGACACTTGTTTCATCTCGTTTTGTTTGTTGCCTCTTCGTGCAATGGACATACCGGTATTTTGGTATTTGTGCCATTTCCATTCTTCTAAATACAGGAAAAGCTATGTCACAATACATGGGCTAGAGGACATAGTTATATTAAAAACTGTGGTGCCAGAAAAAAGGGTGAGAAACTTTGATTTTGCTGGCCTTTATGTTGAAACTAGCGTATCCGTTCTACAGCTTATTGCAGAAAACAAAAATAATACTAGGTGTCAAGGGTAATATTTGACTAGGAAAAGAGTCCCTAACAATCACTTTAAATATGAGCTTTATTTTGTTCCCAGAGATAACAATGCAATTTGTTCAGATGCTCAGTAGCTGTAATTTTTGAATCTTTTAACCTGCAAAGAATACTTTTGTCCTCACAAATTGTTGCTGTCTGTGTGCCCTTTCCACTATAAATGGTAAGTGAGGAAGAATAAGGAAGTTGCGTTGCTGTGTTCAGTTACATTAAATGTTTAAAATATTTTCCATCAATTAGAACTCTTTCATAATGTGATAACCTTGTGTGCCTCAAATGTTCACATCATGTCATAAGATGCCCCCCACCTTTGCAGGGATCATTGTGGTCAGTGGAATAAGCTGCTGATAATCAAGCATCTCTCTTGTCATTATATTTGTAGAAGAAACTGGTGAGGGAGCATAAACCCTAAATTCAGTAGTATAACAGTACTTGCCTTTTACTTTAAGGTATTGTTGGCACTTCTGACATAGCAGAAGGGATGACATATGAACAGTTGCAGGTAAGCTATAAATATACCTATATGTATTCATTTATTACTTTTAATAAAGATAATTTACTGAAATGAATTTCTTTTATCTTGTAGACTATAATTGAAGAGGTTCTAGAGGAAAGTGGTTATTACAATTTCTCTTCTAACAGGTGAGTCTGTTCAATTTAGAAAGAGAAAGTTAATTATGATGTGCTAAAACCAAATGTATCATTTGCCTGTTTACTTGATTGCATTTGCACTTTAAGCTTAGTGCAATACGTGGTTTATTATAACACATGGATGCATGGACTGGAAGAAATGGAGGTGAGACATATTAGCTAATCTAAGCAGGGGTTTTTGGCCGCCTCTGTTTTCTTCACTCAGATGACAGAGGGGTACAAGTTCGGCAGCAATTTCGTCACATTTTTCCCATATGAAAACGTAGCTGAACAAAAGTTTGATTTAAATAGAAGTATATTTTATTATAATACTCTACCATTACAGGGTTGAAAGGATGATGCTGACGTATTTAGTAAAATGTTTGAGTACAGCACAACAAGCAGAGTGAGTGGTTGCTAGCACAAAAGTGCAGGGGATGAAAAAAAATTAAACAGTCTTTGAAACTAGGCAAATGCCTTGTCCTGGAGATGGTGTCTCTTTCCTGCAGGAAAACTTTGAGGAACACAAGAAAGAAAATATATGAAAAATATCATTATAGTCCACAACATAAGCTTAGCATTTCTCATTCTTTTTACCTGCTAGCATGTTATCATCTCAGATATTCTTTAGTGCAAAAAAAAATTCACTACTTCCATCAAGTAAGTCTGTTCCTTGTCTTTGCAGTAATTGACATTTTAAAGCCTGTGAGACTGCAGCTAGGTTTTCTAAAAAAAATAAACAAACATACACCCCCATGCCCCTCTAATGCAGATATTAAGAGGTTTTAAGAATGTATAGTTCCTGGTGCCTCAGTGGTGTTTTTCAGTGATTTATGATCTTTGCAAACTTTTCTGTTTGGATTGACTCTAGCTTGAAAAGTTTAAAATGTTAGTCTGAAAATTTTTGTAGGCTACTCATTAAATTGGAATTCCAGCTTACAAGTATCTTGCAGCTGCCAGCTGTAAGTATTGAAAAATCATGATTCAGCACTCCCAAAATAAAATAATAATTCACTCTTTAAACCTTCAGGGTATACTTGAATCATGTTTACAAATCACTTTTGCAGCCATGAGGTCTAACAAATTTGTTTACAAGTGTTTTCAAGTATTTTAATTTTTTGTCCTAATCACAAGCTCCCAAGATTTGCTGCTGTAGAAAAAATAATCACACAACTTACTGAAAAAAAAAAAAGAAAAAGGCTCTCATTTTTAACCTCAAGATCTAGCAAGTCTTATTATAAATGTATAAATGTTTTGTAGTTCTACAGGCATTTATCTCACAAACAGACTGGCAAAAAGCATCGTGCTGCAATCAACTGTAATGAAGCAGGTGTGTGCTGAATAGGGACTTGAGTATTTTACATGAACTACTATAAAAATAAGATCTATTAATGGAAATCATAGAATCATAGGATATCTCAAGTTGAAGGGACCCAAAAGGGTCATTGAGTCATAGAAT